GAGAGAGAGAGAGAGAGAGAGAGAGAGAGAGAGAGAGAGAGAGAGAGAGAGAGAGAGGAGAAGGAGAGGAGAGGGGGGGGGACAACCAATTTTGCGCAATTCTGACGGCGCGCTGCCGAAAACTATAACCGCCTTGTCATGGCACCTTCGGCAACGACCGCCAGTGCGCAGCTCGGTGCAGAGAAGGGTGCAGCCAGGTGCAGCTGCTTGAAGCCAATCGGTGTCCACTTTTCAGGTCGGCGTTAAACACCCATGCCATGTGGTGGCTTGTTGCGGACATGTCGCAAGACTAGTGCACCCGGCTCACTTGGGACCTTGAATCGTAAAGTGTAAGGCACTAGTAGTTGTCTCGGTCCGGGAGTCGGCGTCCGAAACAGGCGAAATCAACTCACGATAGTGGCAGTTGAGCTATGTGGAGCCACGCCCGCCACCCTCCCTGCAGCCTGCAAGCAGCGCATGAGCGGAGAGAAGGTTGGGTTGCCTACCTCGCGGGCCCACGCACCACTTCACCCCCTTCAAAATGTGCGCGCTATGTATTCGTATGTTTTTGAGCGCACGTCTTTGCTAAGTTCAAACATACGTTTCGTTCTGAACAAATTTCTGTTCAAAATTGGAAGATTTTTGTACAAATGAATGCACATGTTCAAATCAACGTATATATGCGTCCAAAATTTTGATTCCTGAAATTTGGATTATTTTCGAAACAGAATTATTCGTTCCAGAATATCTTTCGTCCACTCACCTTGCGTTAAATGCCCTACCAAACAAAATTCGTTTGCACAGTTCGGATATTTGTTGCCAAACAGTAAGGAAGGGCCTTAGTCGAAACTGCTCCCAGATTTTATCTTAAATGTTTTGGTGAAATTTAAGGTATTTACACTCTAAACGTAAAGGAACTTCTTTGTGTACCTTAAACTAGCAACAAAATGTTTGCTTACTGCCCACCGATCGGAGAGGCATCTTCCGCCACTGCCGATAGAGTGTACTTGAGAATCTGAGATCACCTTCACTCCGGCTGTGCGGAGCAATGCAGCAGCTCAAGAGCAGGATGGGTTGCCAACTTCACGGGCGGCCGTCGAATGGGTCGGCTACCTCCACGGGGCTGGGGGCTGCTGCCGTGAGCCGCAACCGACTACTTTATTTATGAGTGTGCTCATTCGTAACGGCGTACTCTCAAACATTGACATTTAATAAATAAATGACCGAATTCTAAAAAAAAAATCTCTCTAATATACTCTTAGGCTCGTACTGATTTTTTTTCATAGCGCCTTACCCCCAACTCGGGGTAGGCTACTTTCAATAGACTGTCGCCAACTCCACAGTTTTGGTCCAATCGAACTCCAACAACCGGTCTTCTAGTCTCTGAATTCACTCTAAATGTCAAGGGACAATTTTGTCCGTAGATTTGCAACGATTTCGTGCACATCCAGAAAGGATGCAATTTTGTTCCCTTAATTGGACAAATTGTGTGAAGTTTCACACAATTTGTCTAGTTTTAGGAACAAAATTGCATCCTTTCTGGATGTGCACGAAATCGTTGCAAATCTACGGACAAAATTGTCCCTTTACATTTAGAGTGAAAGTGGCGATAATGTCGATGATTGCAAGATTCAGTGACTCACTGTAAATAGGCTGGCGTCTTTTGACGCAAAAACATTGGCGTCTTATGACGCCAAACCCTAAAAGACGCCAAATTTTGGCGTTCTCTTACTGGACGCTAAGAATTGGTGTCTTATGACGCCAAAATTTGGCGTTCTTTAGAGGACGCCAATATTTTGGCGTCGTAAGACGCCAACCCATTTGCAGTGCTGCTATGGAATTCGCTTCATCTCCACATTAGATTCTGCACGATACGCGCGACCGCGAAAGTATTTATGTTACTCAGTGACGATACATTTCTAACCATGAAAATCAGTATTGGCTTTGTTCGATTACATTAAACAATTAGAGAATTACGTTTCCTTCTATAAGCGAAGGGTTCTTATAGGCGAGAGTCGAGGACAATTCCAGTTTGCTGACTGCACAACCCCTGTTCAGGATGTCGTGGGTGCCGGCCGACCTGGCGTCGCTGTGCAGCGAGGGCGCGCAGGTCTCCTCGTGCGGCAGCTCGGCCTTCATGTTCCTGGCGCTGGTCGCCGAGATGCTGAGCTGGTCGCGGGACGACGACCGCATGAGCCTGGCGGACAGCTTCGTGCAGCTCAGCATGCCGCTGCAGGAGCCCAGCGTGCTGAGCCTCGGGCTGTCCGACATCCACCTGCCCTGGGACGCTCAGCCGCAGGAGGAGGAGTTTGACTTCATCATCATAGGCGCCGGGTCGGCGGGCTGCGTGCTGGCGCGCCGCCTGTCCGAGGTGCACCACTGGAACGTAAGTATGCTGCAGAGAGGTTTTGGGAAATTGAAAATGTCATTTGGCACGGAAAAGCCTGTACCCAGTTTTTAAACGCGGGTGATATTTTGAAATTCAGATAATATTTTACTTCGCCGAAGAGCTTTACAAGTTCCATAAGCCCCCAAAGTAGTAACAAAATTTTTCAATTAGAAATTTGTACTTTTCGCTTGCGTTTTACAAATGACGGGCGAAATACTTCGACGGAAAGAAATTTAGGGGGCGGCCGTTTTGCCCGAGCGGTCCACAACTCCAGCAATCTAGTGTACACCCACTAATTCGGAGATAATCTTTGGCAATCTCTGGGCAATTGGAATCGGACCCTGAAGCAATGCCATGCTTTTTGCGCACATTGAGGGTGCAAGTTTTGCCCCGTTTGAGCGAATAGGTAAAATGGCGCCACAACATGCAGTCGCGCAGCCGAGTTTGTCTATCGAAGCTTACCTAGGCGCGTTCCTTAGGCCCCTCGCGACCCAGCCGTACTCCTGTGCCCCGACAAGCTCACCTATTTGCTCCAACAAACGGCCATCCTGTATAAAGCGCGCTGCCTAGGTGCTGCTGCTCGAGGCCGGCGACGAGGAGCCCGAGGTGGCCGAGGTGCCCGGGCTGGCGCCGCTGCTGCAGGGCTCCTCCATCGACTGGAACTACCGCACGCAGCCCGAGCACCACGCCTGCCGGTCCAGGAAGGACGGCGGCTGCTACTGGGCGCGCGGCAAGGTCATGGGCGGCTCCTCCACCATCAACTACATGATCTACATGCGCGGCCACCCGGAGGACTACGACGAGTGGGAGGCCATGGGCAACGAGGGCTGGGGCTACGGCGAGGTGCTGCCGTACTTCCGCAAGTCGGAGCGCAACGAGGACCACGACATCCTGGAGGAGAGCCCAGAGTTCCACGGCAAGCACGGGCCGCAGACGGTCGAGCGCTTCCCTTACACCGACCCCAACGTGCCCCTCTTCATCGAGGGCTGGCGGCACCTCGGCTACCAGGAGCAGGACCTCAACGACGACACCCAGGTAATGTGAGAGGGAAAAAAAGAGGGACTAGTATCGGCAATAAAAGTGTAAACACCTAACAAAAAAGGAAAATTAAACCCAAAGGTCTAAATACTGCAAAAAGAAAAATCTTACAGAAATATAAGAATTATTACAAGGTATGTAAGGGATGGTGGTGCTCAGCGTCAGCAGGTCCCATTTTTCAGCTACATCTTTGAGATGTTTTAGTGCCTATTAAAAAACGAAAATTTAGAAAACCATCTCGTCCGTTTCTCTTTTTAGAACATCATCTCCAAAAATTCTAGAGCCTGAAAAAAATACTCTCATTTTTTTCGGATCTGACTTTGAAGTATGCATATACATGTCCCGAATGTTTAAAAATACAACAATTTTCCGATATTTATTTTTGCAAAAAGAAGTGGATCCTGATAATACTCTTGAAAACTAAGGAAAAAAGGTTCTGACCGTAAACTTAAATGTCGGGGTTGTATCATCATGACCGCACACAGCAACACGATTAGCGTGTCATCGTGCACAGATGAAAACCTTATGCAAGCAACGCAATTGCGTTATTATTCCAGGTAGAGGAGAAGGAGGGGGTCCTCTTTACCACGTGTGTGTGGTGCTTGCATTGTAGGAGAAAGTTCACTACTGTCGATACCATAAGCTGTATGAAAAACCATAACGACAAAAAACAGAAAAAAGTAACAGAAGCAACTACCTAACGCACTATGACGTGACCACACACAGGTTGGGGTCATGCACCTGCAGACAACGTCGCAGCACGGCGAGCGCCTGTCGACCAACGGGGCCTTCGTGAGGCCCGTGCGTCGCAAGCGTCCTAACCTGGTGGTGCGCACCCAGGCGCACGTCACCCGGATCCTGTTCGGCGTCAAGAAGCACTGCACCAAGGAGCACCAGGTGCGCATGTTGTAAAATTTAAGTCAAAGAGCCGACCGATGTCGAGAACAATTCCAAATCGACGAGAAAGTTGTCAGGTTTGCAAACTTTAATGGCGACCCAGCAAAAGTGTGACATAATACTTTTTGAAACTTACAGGATGACCATGATTGCAAGCCCACAGCCCTGCAAGTCGAGTACCAACAGGGTAGGGGAAAGGGAGCCAGGATGGTGAGAGTGACCGCCTCCAAGGAGATCATTCTGTCAGCAGGTAAGGTTCAACGCTCAGCGCACACTTAAAACTCACACATACACATAACTTACGCAACTCACATTCTCTACAAACACCTACAGGCCCATACAACCACAACCATTGCCACACACCCACACAAGATAACCCTGAAACCACTTACAAAGGAGAAAGACAACAAACTCAAGAAATATAACAGTCAAGAAGAAACCATTGAGCACTATCAAATATGAATCAATTCTAAAGTGGGATCTAACCATTACATTTATATCGGAGTCGAAATATTAGAAGCACATGAATTTTTTAGTGTCTTGAAGCTGTAAACGAGGAGCGATGGGTGGCGATTCGCAATGCGAAACCCAAGATCAGCAACTTTTAAGTGTAGGCTCAAGCTCGTCATTCAAGGCGTGATGGTTATATGAAAGCAGAATAATGGAACGAATGTGTGTTCGTAATTTTGCCATGTTTAGGTAGAGAACCTGGGCTTAATCGCGGGTCACGGCCATACGCATGAAAATATATCGTTATTCTAACCAAACCTAAATATTCTTTTCACTTCGTGACTAGTTACCATTGGTAAAAGTATGATACTAAAATGTACATATAACACAACCGCAAAAAGGTTTCTACGAAAATACTAAAATACTCATTCAACAGCACATACGTAACACTTGCTAAAATGAAAATTCAGGTAATCACTTCATTAAAAACACACCATGGCACAAATATATCGCACACCATCACTCCAGGAACGATTTGAAAAGAAAACTTACACATCCACATCATGGTGACATGTACTCAAATCCAGTCATCCAACACTCACCTCCTGGAAAAACAAACAAAAATAACTGTGCCGAGTGCTCATTTTCCAAAACAAAACTCAAAACAAACAGATCAGGGCGGAAAAAAATGTGATCGATTATAATTATACTATAATTGAGCGCAAAGCGACGCAAAATAGGAGTTGCACTCAGCATTAATTTAATTAATCGGGCATGGAGTATCAAACACCCGCTAAGGGCCGCGTGGGCGAGTGAGCGAAACTCGAACTGTTGACAGTACGATACCTCAGAGCGAGAACCGCTCAGTCACTCGAGGAGCTACGACAACCGCTCAGTCTCTCGAGGCGCTACGACAACCGCTCAGTCTGCTGAGGCACTGACAACCGCTCAACCGCTGCAGGAAAGCCGAAGGAAAGCCTATTATACTGAGCGGTTGTCAGCGCCTCGGCAGACTGAGCGGTTGTCGTAGCGCCTCGAGAGACTGAGCGGTTGTCGAAACGCCTCGGCAGACTGAGCGGTTCTCGCTCTGAG